CGTCTCTCCCTGGTACCTCTACCTTATACTTGCCGCTCCTACCGCCCAGATAACCACATCAAGTGTCTGTCTCCTACTATCACCTGATTGCTGTCCGGACTGGTGGTCGTTGGGGTGCTGTCTAACGCCGTGGTGCTCAACCAAGGAGACGAACTTTGACCTTGTGTCGAGCATATCCGGGGGGCCGTTCATCCTACTACCAGAGCGGCTGGGGCACCCAACAAGACCGACGTCAGATAAACGAGGGGTAAGGCAACACGTTTCCAGCCCGGCAAGGCTTTGTCTTCTCCACGGTTGGATATAACAAGTCGAGGATGCTTGTTGTATCTCCAAATTCATTCATCATTCCACGCCATTGCACCCCACAAACCACTGCTCGGCCTTCTTCCTTGTCGACTGGTGCTGCCACCTCCTCTTCTTCCCCCACTTCTCGAGGCTGCGTGACTTTCATCCACATTATCTCATTACGATACCCCAACACCGCCCAGGTGCTGCGCCTGGAACTGCCTCTACGGTTGCCACACACTCCCCTGAGCAACTTCTCACCATGATGAGCCTCCAGCAGTCGATCGAGGCACAGGCTCCTCCCCATACAGCCGACGAGAATGGAGATACGCGGCAGCAGAAGCCCAAGACTTTGCCGTGCAAGTACTGTAGCAAACGCTTCAGGTGAGCCGACTAACCCTTCCGTTGCCTCCGCTATTACATATTAGCTTACATTGGGCTTCCATATTAGGCGTGTGGAACATGTACAGAGGCACGAGAGAACTCATACCAAAGAGAAGCCTTTTTCTTGCGGCTGGGCTCGCTGTGGGAAAACGTTTGGACGCCGGTCAGTTAGCCTGTTCCTTTCTCACCCCCATGTGATTTGCTTGCTTTTGGGGCGCCTGCCATGATTCCCACCACTCACCATGCACGTTTCCCGTTTCCGTTCCCGTGCTGTCACCGTCCGACCTGTACTTGCCAAACCAAGTCCCACCCTCTCAAACCCCTAGCACCTCCAACTTCCCCTTGGATGCTTCGTAATTCACGCGCATATCAACATCTCTCAGCTGCGCCCCAAGAAATATGCTTATATGGACATCAGTGATCTTCTTGTCCGCCATGAAAAGCTCGTCCACCTTAATGAAGGGAATAAGGACGGTGGCCGGCCTCGGAAGCCGTCGTCGGCCGGCGCCGTCACCGGTGCGTCCGATAGCAGTCATGTCGACAGCGAGATGCTAGGTATGCAGCAACGGCCCCCGCCACCACAGTATCACACCGAGAGCATGCCATCGGCAGTTGCGTCATCGCATCCTGCGGATCCACGGTTAGCTGCACGAGCACCTGCTTGCAACCTCGACCTCTTGTCCGATGCGGCAACCCACCTGGCGTCGGGCGGCGAAGTGAGTTCCATGCAGCAAAACATGATGCCGGGCTTGGCCCCGCCACCACCCGACCTCGGACGGGTCAAGCAACACTATGACGAGGGTATGTCGTACGGAGATCGTGGAAGAGAGCAGGATCCAGGTGTTATGTCTGGGGGATTCTCAGCACAGCCTCCACCGGCGTCATATGACGACTTCAACCTTTTTCTCGATGACTATGCGACATCCTCCCATTTTCTGCCACCTGGACTGGAAGCCGAGCAATCGTTCGGGATGTGGCCGCGATCCGGCGTAGAGCTGGGACAAAGAGGGCCGTCGAAACCATCATCAACCTTTCCGTCCAGATTCCCCTCTCTTCAACCAGACCCGAGAGATGCTGCGGATGGAGCAGGCAGAATGCACGAAGAGGGAATGAGAGCACCAGCTTGGAGAATATCGACCATGGACCACACCGTCATTAGGAACAGACTCGATGAATTCTCCTCGGTGCTTCCCAACGACTTCGTCTTTCCATCCCGACACACTCTGACTCGATTTCTGGAAGGGTATATCAGCGGCTTTCATGAGCATCTTCCGTTTCTCCACATTCCGACCCTGGCTCCAACGGAACTGTCGCCTGAGTTGCTACTGGCAATCCTAGCAGTCGGAGCCCAGTACCGGTTCGAGACCAACCGAGGCCACGCGTTATGGTATGCCGCAAAAGCAGTTGCGCTAGAACAAATCAGGAGGCGACACAGCCATGAAGTACATGGTCTGCTTCCGACCCCGGCGGCTTACAGCCCTCACTCCACTCGTCCGTCTCCGAGTTCTGGGTTCCGACATTCCTTTCCGTCAGCTCTCCAGGACCGCCCAATGACACAAGATACACACCGCGAGCCTTAGTAAGTGAACACTCCGTGTCCAACGATTCTCAGCGTAAAAAGTTCTAAGACTTGATAGCTCCCCAAACACACCCCAGTCGAGGCTGGAAACCATCCAAGCTCTCCTACTCCTTTTCGCTGTTGGCCTCTGGGGCGCCAAAGCCATCCTCCACGAAGCATTCTCCATCCAGAGTTTACTCGCTCTTCTTGTCCGCGAGGAAGGCCTCCATGCGGAACCCAATCAAGCGATGGACTGGGACACTTGGATTCGACTCGAAGCAAGCACTCGGACTAAGCTTATTGCCTACTGCTTCTTCAATTTGTGCAGCATTGCCTATAATACACCACCTCTGCTGTTGACATCAGAGGTGGATCTGTTCCTGCCAAATCCGTCTCGATTATGGCGAGCGGAGAGCGCTTGGCAATGGCAAGAGGCACGGCAGTCGTATCCAACAGCCGAAATACCACTCCAGGATGCGTTTTCGAGACTGTTGAATCGACCATCTCAGGGACCGCCATCGCCCGTGTCGTCGCTGGGCAACTATGTCCTCATACACGCACTAATCCAGCATATCTATTTACTCAAGCAGACGTCGTTTGCAAGTCTGTCGCCCTTCGATGTCCATCGCGGGTTGAAACCAGAGGATGTTGAAGAAGTCAGTCAAGCATTACGCGTGTGGACGATCGGATTCGAACAGCACCGTCAACTCCGGGCCAATGAAACAGGCCAGCAGATGATTGGTGACCCCTTCTCAGGAGGGCCAGTCGCGTTTAATTCCACTGCGTTGTTGAGACTGGCGTACATGCGCCTGTACACTGATCTGAATCCCAGTCGAGGACTCGAAACGCGGGATCACGTCCTCATTGCGTCGTCATTCAGCCAGGCTCCTGTCCTCGTGCGAAGTCCCCGCCTGCACCGGGCAGTTGTTCAGGCGATCCATGCGCTTTCAATGCTGGTCAAAATGGGCGTCAACTACGTGGCGAGGACGAAGTCACTCGAGTGGAGCATGCAGCATTCTTGTGAGTACTCAAAATGCTTTATACGTCAATGGATTGCCACCCCGGACCAGAACAACATTCTAGAACCTTACGCTGTCTCTGTTTCATCATGCTAATCTTCTCGCACAGTATGCAACCTCGAATGTGCCGTCGTCCTCTCCAAGTGGCTCATGACCCTTGCGTCGATCAGTCCTAACGAGCCGCCAGCGACAGTGGAGGAGAAGAATCTTCTGGAGATGGTTCGTCGCATGCTGGACGAAACCGAATTTGCCGTTCCCATCGACCCGTCACTCTCGGGGCCCAGCGTCCATGGTCACCACCACCATCAACACAACCGATCGATAGATATGCCGGGGACGGACGCAGCGAAACTGCGTCAACTAGCGGCGGCGGTCATCCGGTTATGGGCCGAGACATTCAAGGGCACGCATATCTTTGAGATCATTCGCATTATGGGTGCGGGACTCGAAGGATATGCGGACATGGTCGAGAAGCCGCGCGATCGGACGCCCTTGGGTAGGATGGCCCCCAATACCGGTATGGGATAGTGCCCGTGGCATGTCATGGATTTGGGTCAGCCATCAGTCATTTGCGGGAGTTTTTGCTGTTCTTTGTTGTTTCCCGCTTCTATCTACGGGTTCAAGTGTTAGTTTCGACTTGGGCCATGGATGATACGCAGACTTGCGAGAACGTCTCTAGGGAGCAAGCGGTCAATTGGTTTGTCGCGCTGTGATTTGCGGTTTCTGAGTGAGGGATATAGATCACCTCAAGTTGTTTGTCCTGCTTGACAGGCAACTTCTATCCTTATAGGCTGCCGAGCACTGGACTTGTGCGACTTGATTCGTGGTGAGCCAGTATGGATCGTCTCACGCCATTTCGTTGTATATAACTGTCCCGGTCTACACTGGCTCATCCACTTCTTACATTACGCGTGGCCAACGCGACGTCGGTGGCACAACCGCCGAGCTGAAGGTCGCTGGCATTTAACCTCTGGGAATTGTTATCCTGCTTTCCATTACATAAATGTGCGTCTATAGTCGAGCTATGCCCGGCCAAAGACATATAGAGCAGGCAATTGCAGAGTTCGCTCAGCTAAGAGGTGCAAGGGTACCTAAACCATCATATATACTGGACTGCCTACGACATGGTGTTGCCAAAACGCAAAAAGCAAAAAGCACAGCGCATGAGCCATTGCGTATTCTACGCTGTTAACCATATGATTTCGCCCGGGCTCGAACCGGGGACCTTCAGTGTGTTAGACTGACGTGATAAACCAACTACACCACGAAACCATTTGTTGGAGGGGCTCGCAGCTAAATATGATTATATCACCAGCCCCATCAGGGCGAGATGGAGCTAGTCACAGTCTTGCACACGAATGCGCTAAAGTCTACCCGTCGAAGTTATTGAAATAACAAAATGTGATAACGCATCAGACTGCACTGGGAATTAGCTACAAATCTATAAGAGTCATTGTGTTTCTCATTAGGTGTTGCCCCTTAGTATAGCAGTTGTCTACGCATTCGGACAGGGCTCAAGGGGGCAACCTCTGCACGCTTCACCAGCATACAGCCGTAAAAATGAATAACCCTCTACACCGCATGCAAGCAGTACACCGGCGCCATCCCAGCCGGGAAAGGCTGATATCCCCTTACAGTTATAAGCTGCAGAGCCTGCATCCCGCTGGACTTCTCGCCCGCCGCCACACCGCGCACAAAACACCAAAGATGACCACCCTTCACCCTCTCATCGCTGCCAACAAAAGGATATACATCTCCCCCTTACAGGTTCGAACTGTAGACCTCCTGATGTTCCGCTCCCTGGTTGAGGAGTAACAGTCAGACGCTCTAGCCAACTGAGCTAAGGAGGAAGATGGGCTGGAAACACCCGGATGGGTGCTGCTGATGGTGGATGGTGCGTGGTATTGTGGTTTGTCAATGGCGAGCGTTTTTGGTATGAAAAGATCGCAAAGTGCGGGTTGTGGTGTGGATCTTGCGTGGATATCCTTGCGGAAATGCGGGTATGCTGGAGACGCGCATCGTTGTGGATGCGAATCATGTTGGCTGGCGCCTTGCGGAAAGAGTCATTTCGTGACGAAAATGCAAAGGTTGATGTTGGTGCATTAATAAGTCCAGCATAAAAATGGACGTCCTCTCTTTCCCATGGTAATTCCCATGCGCCGCCGCGCGCCGCCCAATCCCTATGTGTTCACTCCCAAAACGGTCTGGTATCTTCATGCGCCGAAACTAACCCAATCTCATTGATGTAAAACCAATTCCAACTCCGTGCCCAAATGCAAAAATCCGATCACAAACACCTCAGCCCGGCAGAGGCCGTATATAACGGGGTCATTGCTTGAAGTACCCCGTGGACTTCATATCTTGTGGCCGTGCCTGCTGGATGCCGAAGTCGTTGAACCGTAGGCCGCTGTCCTCTGCTCGCCTTGGACCCGACATTTGCGAGCTCCCGGGGGTGTAAGGCGGTAGGTTCGGCATTGGGCGTGAGCCGTCTGACACCAGCGCCGCCGACTCCTCATCCAGTGGCGCGGCTGCAAGCGGCACCGTTGTATACATTTCTTGCATTTGCGGCAGGAAGTTGTTGGTGGCTTGATTGTTGGGCCTGTACTGCATTCCGTCTGCGACCCTGCCTTCTTCGCACAGTGACGATCTGTCATTCTCTTCTAGGAGGACGGGGATCGGTTGTTGCCTCGAGGGCCGTTGCTGGTGCTCCGGACTGGAGTAATGTCGCTGATGTGACGGTCCATGTCTCATCCCGTCAGCCACTAGTGCGTCGTATTCCTCGTGCTGCGACTCATTTCGAGTTTCCGACACTTCGTTTATTGGACTGGGAATTCCTGCCAAGGTGGATGTACGATTTGGAACCGGGCGCCGGGGTATCATCGGTGGAGAACCGTTAGACCCGGTTCTGGCATGATTTGTGGTGGCGACGCTACGTATTGATGTCTGACGGGTGATGATACCTTCGCTCGGAGGTGGGATGAACCGTGGGGTGGTCATTAGCAGAGGAGACTGCTGCTCCTTCTCGTTCGCCCGCTCTAGTGAGTCCAGGAGCTCGTTGACCCGAGTATTTTTTGTATAGCTGGCCTCGCATATCCTGAGTACGGACAGGACGATGGCGAGAATGAAAGTGAAAATCAGGCCAATTGCGATGAAGTAGACTGAGCGCTCGAACGCGCAGTACCTGTCGAGCTCCCCTTTGTGTCCTGGTGCCTCATCGCTGAAGCGGATCGTTGTATACCCATAGCTTGGCTTGTCTGGTCGAACATCGGAGCTGACTACAAAATATGAGCAGGGTACGCCGCTGAAACTGAGGCAGGAAGAACGTACAATCACCATTTGTCAATCCAACACACATCGAGGGTAGGCCGGCGCGGGCCAGGACAGTGATCAAGCCAACCACCACGCCAATGAACATGACGTCGCCGACGATGAAGCAAGTGAGCCATGAAGAACGTTTCGAACGGCCACCGGTGTGTTGGATCAGGAGTGCTAGCGTCGTGTAGACGAGCATGATGACAATCTGAATAAATCATGATGTGAGTGCGAAGGAGGAGAAAATGAGGATCGGGTTCATTTGAACAAACCATTAGTTCCAATATGACCATGTTCCGCCCTAAGCCCAACTTCTTGATATGAATCCAGGCGACAAGAAAGCCATTCATCACGCCGGCAGCCAGCGCCGCCACCAGCTGGAAGGTCCTGGTGAGGACCAGCCAGTTTGAGAGATCCCAAGCCATCTTTGCGATGATTGATGCTTGGAAGGCAGAGCGTCAGGCTTCCGAAGCAGATTCGACAAGCATGGAGATGGAGAGAGCCGGAAACAAAACAAACAATGGAAGAACAACTCTGTTCTAGACTGTCACCCAGAAATGAAGGATAAACCAGTCCACCAGGGTGCAAGAGCTGAGAAAGAGGTGATGGGGGCTGTGTACATATGGAATGGGTCCGATGGACGATAGTCAGCGATTGTGATTTGCTGGTGCCCGAAGAAACGGGTAACTAATCCCCTCTGTACCTCCGGACATTAGAACAAACACGCTCGTGTAGCGGTAAACTGGCAGTTCTTGACACCGTCAGACTGCCGATCTCCTCCGGACTCCATGATGGAAAAGTGTTTTGAAACAAACTTGCTCGGCATGTCTACCACAGTAGTCAGTCGTTGTGTCTGACTTATGGCTTGACGGTCGTTGGTCCGCGTGGCACCTGGAAACGAGGCATCTGGTTTGACATCATAACGAGCTGAGCAAGGAACACAGGCGTCTCGCTGGTGAGGCTCTCTCAGGAACGAGAAACAGAGCCCAAAAATATGCCCTAGTGGGTTGAGGGACGCGTCATCGGCAGCCACGGAGAAGGGGACCGTCTGGTGATGGTGGTGCTGCAGCAGTGATGCTAGGAGCAATTAAGGTTGGTCTAGGAGGGTGCGGATAGTGGGCCCGTGCAGGGAACAGGGTGCACAGCCTCGGCCGACTCGCCCAGGTTTCCCAGACGCTTTGACGCTTGGGCTATCGGCCATCGTCGAACGCTCCTCATTGGTCAATTCACTGTAGCTTGGCAGATACGGCGGGTTCGGCAGGGACAGGCGACGTCTCCGTCTTGGCTACCCTGCGTGACCCTCCCAAGCTGCCAGGCAGCAGGATTCAGCTCTGCGTTTAGGTCTGGTGACAGCCTGTCAGAAACTTGTCCTCTGTGCAGAGCGGGTTTTCCCCAAGCTTCAAGCTTTCGCGTATGCCATTTTGCGACAGGTAAATACACCTGTGTCTCGCCTGTCAGTTGTGCTGCCTGCGCGGTGGGCCGCTTGGTAGAAGCCTGAGATATGGCGGTCCAAGAGACTGAGAAGGAGACATGGAGTGACGAATCTCTTGTTGACTCTCCAAGAGACTCGGGCTCTTCGGGAAGCGGTGAGAAGCCAGTAAAAACACCAAACAGGTTGCTCAAGGCATCATCAAAAGCCATCCGATCAGTACATGACAGCTTCGGCAAGGTCTCGTCGGCTTCGGCGCGCTTTTACAGACGCAGTTGGCCTAAGGTGTCATCGGTTTCCGTGCGGGTGTACGATCGTGGCTGGCCCAGGATCCGGTCAAGAACAGTCCGAGTATACCAACGTGTTTCTCCCAAGCTGTCTTCGGCTTCAGTTCGACTCTTCCAGCACACCTGGCCCAGGATCTCGTCGACCGTGTCTCGATTGACCCACCATGACGATTCAGAGACGATGTCCGCCAAGGTGCGGACGCCACATCGGGATCGGCTCGAGGTCACTTCGATGATACTACGATTCTTTCAATTTATCTCGGCCCTCTACGTATTCGTATCTGTCACCGAGAGCTTCCGGTCCAAGATTACCTACGATGGCCGTGTCCGTCAGATACAGCCCATGGTAAGTGAGATTCCATTTTGCACCAATATCCCCGTGCCAGTAACCGGCGAAGTCGACAAGTAACTGACTCGACCTCGTAGATGCTAATTACGCTGATCTATTCGTCTTTGGCCATTGTTTGCTTCCTTATGCTCAATGTGGTCAAGAAGCTCAGGGCATCAGTATGGCACATAGTGGCCATATCTTCTGTCCCAGGGGATGTTTCGATGAGCTGCTTGTTTGTCGCTAAGGATGTTATCTTCGGGGTCCACTCGTTTGAGTGTGCTGCCGCGTCCGGCACGGTTAGTGCCATCAACCAGTTTACTACTTTGCAGGATATGGATTCCCTGGAGCTCCGAAGCTACCTTGACAACAGGCCCTCCCATGGGTTCTTCATAGGCTCAGCCAGAGACACGTGCTTACTGCCGTCCAGCGTCTATGTTGTGTGTGTTCTCGCAGCGTAAGTCAAACTCATCCCGCGCACGGGAACGAGGCACAAGGACTGACCTTTCCTAGCCTCTCTTACCTTGGATCGGTGACTGTCGCCGTTCGCCAGCTCTTAGACTACAGAAAGTCTATTTCAGCTAAGAGTGCTGCCCAGTACCCAGGCTACGTCGAGCAAGCTATACCTGCGACTGTGTCGTCAGCACCTCAGATGATACAACGGGGACCGTCAATGCTCGTGCGCAACCCCCAAGCGGAGCTACCAGGACCAGCTTCAAGGTCGGAATCATCAAGCAGTAGCGCGCCGTTATTACCTGCGAGTATACCATCATCACAAGATCCGAAGTACGCAAATATGCCCGCCGGGATAGTGGAGAGTATGGCGATGGCCCCTCCTCGGACTTCTCAAGAGACGACCTCCTCGATGGATCCAGACCATTACATCGTGTCCGACGGTTTCAGGCCTTGCGAGCGGCCACCAAGCTACACCTCGAGCCGTGAATCCAGTCCCGGTCCTCCGGAATATAGGAGCCGACCGCCGAGTCTACACACCGTTGTACTAGTGGGACCTGATAGAAGGCATGCTCCGCACTAGGCTATGCCAAATACGTTCTAGACGCGCTACTGGTATTGCCCGCATCTACTAGATGGCGAGCGAGAAATCATCGCACATATATGGATCTTGAAGACCATGCGGTCTAGGGCCACAACCTTCGTAAAGGCCTAGGATATTCTAGCGAAATCTTGAACCACTGGCGCTGTTCGAAGTCGGTTCAGTGAAGGGCATCGCTCACTCCGAGCATAATGAGGAAGCATGATGCCTCAGGATATGCATTCTCCGGAACTGACGATGCAATAGTGAGGCCATGTGGACGTGGTTCATCATATTGATTCATGTTATTCACGGACTTGAAGAGTTAGGAACTGGCTAACCCTGAAATGCTGGAGCGTGGCCGTTGAACTTAATAGATAATAAGCTTCGATTTTGGGAGGCGTTTGGAGCGTATCACGTTGGGCATTGGTTACGGCTACGGGGCAGGGTGTAACATTGGA